TGTCAGGCCTTTGCACATGCTGTTTTCTTTGCTTATTGTTCTGTTCTGCACAAGGATAACTTCTACTCACTGTTTAAGAGTTACCTTTGATAAATTTTCTTCAATCCCCTCAAGCCAAGGGACTTTCCTCTATTATATGAATAATTCTGTAGCTCTCATATAAATTTGTCTCCCCTTCTGATCTAGAAGTTCTTTATCTTTGTATTCTTAACAGCGCACTGTCTGGTACATAGAAGGGCTCAACAGTATTTATTGAATGAATGGTTGAATTAATTAACTGATAGCTTGGAGTTCTCCATTTTTTATACTTTGTGATCTTTAAAATCCCTAAATATATTTTGTTCTCTTGCCAGGGTTAAAACTCATATGTTGCCTCTCTACCCACTTGCACAGACTTGTAAGGTCTTTTTTAATCCCATCTGTGTGTTTCTGCATCAGCTGGAAGCATTTAATGTCTCCTAAACTTGGAAATCTCATGTGAGCTTTTTCTTCTGGAGCATTTAAAAAAAGATATTAAAAAAGTATCAATTCCTAGGAAGATGAATTCTTTATATTTCTCTGTCCAGAGAAATCCCTAATTGACCCTACCATTTAATTCCTATTTTGACCTGATTTAAAATTTTAGGATAAATGAACAGCTTAATGAACCTCTGAATCCATGATGTCATCAGTTAACACAAAACAACCACAATCACCACCAGAACTTTTCATTTAGAAGGATGGCATTCATTAGTCCTCCTTTTATCTGTGTGCCTGTTGATTATATTAAATTTATCCTTTGGGATGTCCTTTAGGAGAAATGATCTTGCCTTCTCAATTTCCTTTACTTAAACTCTGTAATGTGCCTTTCTTAGCTCCACCTGCTCCCATAATATAATATTTTTGTTATGTTCACTGAACCTGTCCTTTCTCACAGATTTATTGGCTTGGTATTTGGGGTATCAGTGCTCATTAAGGACTCGGTAATTAATTGCCTTGGGCATAGTTAACAAAGCATAGGCTCAAAATCCAAAATATATTAGAATTTTTTAAATTCCAAAGTTCCTATAGCATTAAAGTTACCACAGTTAATAGTGAGCTATACATAGCCATCATCAGAGTAAAAGAAATAATATTGCGAACTTTATCTTTCTTTGTAGTAATGTATGTTCACCTTTCAGAAACTACCCACACATCGATCTTGCCATTCTAAATAGAGCAGTATAATGCTAGGTCACTTCAGAGGGAATTATGTAGTTAGTTTTAATTATACTCTAATATGCAGAGGATTTTCTTCAGCTCCTGCTGAATGTTTATACTTTTTATTGTTAATACCTCTGAAGAGTGTGCATTCTATCTAAACAGTAAATTACTTATCCTCCAGGTCACACTGAAATAAATGTAAGTAGTGTTATTAAATTGTGGGAAATATGAAAATCATTCACAGCATCACAGGACAAAAACAGTACCCCAGGTTTAATAAGTTTTATTGAGAAGATTATTTTTGGAATATTTTCAAAAGAATAATTCTGTACTCGTTTCATAATTTTCTACTGCTATTCAACTCTATTCCATTTCTCTTTTTTTAAAAAAAACTACATTCCATTTCTGATGTGCTAGTTACTCAATCACATAAGAGGGTTGGCAGAAGTATCATTACTCGATTTTTACAGATGGAAAACAGATACTGAAAAAGTAGAAGACTTACCCAGATCACAGTGCTAATGACAGAGCTGGAACTAGAACCTACACCGGAAATACAAGGGGGAAATCATAGCAAGCCGAGAAAACTACACAGTGTCTTGTGTTGGGTAATTAGTGAGTATGAACAGTGAGTTAGTTGACAGCTACTTCTAACTGTCCTCCCTACATCTTGTAAAGAAGTTAATCTCCCCTAAAGCCTTCATGAAGTCACAGACAGCCTTTATTTTCAGAAAGGAAGGAACTAAAAATATAGTAGCACAGCCATTTATTAACCTCAGGCAACATTATCCTGAGGTAACAGAGTCTTGTGAAAAAAGCATGGGATTTGCAATCAGAAGACTTAGGTTTGGATCTCAGTTGTTTTACACTTAATCTCTTTACACTAAATACCTATTTAGTTAAAATGGGGTTCATAACACCAACCTTACTGCCTCAAAGAGTGTTGTGATGATCAATAAGATACTATCTAGAAGTACTTTATAAACTGTGCCATTATATAAGTCCTTGTCCTTGTATAGTAACGAATAAAGGAAATCCTTCCAGTGTAGGAAGGAGTATGACATAGTTGTTAGGGTCATGGCTTAGCAGTCACGCTGCCTTGGGTTACAATACAAGAAAAGCCACATTCTAGCTCTGTAACTTGGCTCAGGAACTTAGTCTTTCTTGGTCTTCTTACCTTTAAAATGGGAGATAATATCTATCATGAGGTTTTATAAAGATTATATAAGTTATTGTATATGGAATGCATAAGCTATTGTTAAGGTCTCTTGAATTAATTTTCTTTGAAAAATTTTTTTAACGTTTTTCTTTGAGAGAGAGAGAGAGAGAGAGAGAGCACAAGCATGAACAAGGAAAGGCAGAGAGAGGGAGACAGAATCTGAAGCAGGCTCAAGGCTCCAAGCTGTCAGCACAGAGCCCAAAGCGGGGCTTGAAGTCAAGATCGAACTCGAGGGGCTTGATCACGAGGTCATGACCTGAGCCGAAGTTGGATACTTAACCAACTGAGCTACCCAGGCGCCCCTGATTTAGTTTTCTTTAAAATGAACGTTTTTGTTTTTCCATTCACTTTATTAATGAATGATAGAGCAAACAAAATATCATTTGATGAATACAACATACATATACTTAACTTTCATATTAAGGTCAGTTAAGGCTGAGAGAAAAGCTGGCCCCGGAAGAGAAGAGGAAGGCAGGGCAACTACTAGTCCCAAGTTAAGAGCCATAAGCTCCCTAGTTCAGAATACAGACTTTGTGTTCAAATCCCGATCCTGTCATTTATCCCTAATAACTTCTTGTCCCCTACCTGTAATGGTGAGAGTGACCAACATATATTGAGACTTACTAGGTGCTGGGTCTTTATTCTAAGCACGTTATTTTTTATTTATTTAGTTTTTAAAGTTTATTTTATTTTTTTAATTTAAATTTTAGTTAACATACATGCAGTATTGGTTTCAGGAGTAGAATTCAGTGATTCGTCACTTACATACAACACCCAGTGCTCATCACAAGTGCCCTCCTGACTACCCATCTCCAGTCTAGCCCATCTCCCACCCATCTCCCTCCATCAACCCTCAGTTTTTCTCTATAGTTAAGAGCCTCTTGTGGTTTGTTTTCCTCTCTTCTCTTTTTCCCCTTGCCTTTCCCTATTTTCACCTGTTTTGTTTCTTAAATTCCACATATTAGTGAAATCATATGGTATTAGTCATTCTCTGATTGATTTATTTCACTTAGCATAATACAATCTAGCTCCATCCACGTCATTGCAAATAGAAAGATTTCATTCTTTTTGATGGCTGAGTAGTCGATGAACATTTGGGCTCTTTCCATAGTTTGGCTATTGTTGATAATGCTGCTATATATAAACATGGCATACAAAAATGAACTTTTAGTTTATATTAATGATTTTAGATTTCCAAAAAAGTTGTAAAGATAGTACAGAGAATTATCCTCTGCCTTTCTCCTGGTTTCCTCTGTTGTTAGTATCTTACATTTGCCACTTATGAGCAAACAAACATTGATGCATTACTGTTACCTAAACTACAGGTTTTATTTGAACTTCACAAATTTTTCCATGAATGTCTTCTTTCTGTTCCAGGATCCAATCTAGGGTATCATATTGTATTTAGTTGTCATGCATGTCTTCCCTGTATCCTTTGGTCTGTGACAGTTTATTAGTACCATCCTTTTTCATGACCTTAACAGTCTTGAGGAATATTGCCCAGGTACCATATAGGACGTTCCCCAATCTGGTTTTCTTTATTGTTTTTCTCATGATTAGGCTGGAGTTGTGGACTTTGGGAGAGAATACCAGTGAGGTGAAGTGCTATTCTTGTCACAATATGTCAATGGGTACATGATACTTATGTGATATTACTGATGATGTTAACCTTTATCACTTGGCTAATGTAGTGTTTGTCAGGTTTTTTCATGGTATTTTGACTAGTTTTGATTAGCTATCACTTATATTTGACTTTCTTTTCCCTGTCTTCCCACTGTTTGGAATGCTTTTCATTTATATTTACTTCAAATGTCATTTTCAGAAATATCTTCTCTGACCACTCAAGCTAAAAAAGTCTCTATGACATTTCACTTTGTATTTTCTTCATCGCATTTATCATTGCCTGAAATTGTCTTGCGCAATTGTTTACCTTGTTTATTGTTTGTTGATTGTCTCCCACCCCCTTAAACATGAACATAAGCTTCAGGAGAACAAGATCCTTGTAGGACTATTCACCTCTGTACACTTGACATCTAGCACAAGGGCTAGCATATAATAAGTGCTCAGTAACTATTTTTTGAATAAATGTCAAAGAAAAAAGATCAAGGATTAAATTATTTATAAGTATTTTTGAAAAAGAATGAAAAATAGCTGAATGGTAGGAGGTTCAATTTAATATTCTTAACTGAATCAGTTTAGTTTTAATGAAAAGGTTAAATGCAATCATAAGCATCTATGGAAATAGGTAATCAACATCCTTGTAATTCAGGCTCTCTTATAATGCACTTAATAATGTGAATGCCAGAGTATTTTTCTGACTTATAAGCAAGATATGACTGACAAATGTAAGATCTGCTTAGTTATTATACATCTGCACCATTTGTGACCTTTATTTGCAAATTGGCTCAGTTTTCCTATTGTAGAATTTTTAACAGAATCTGAAGGAGTGTAGAAATAATTGATGCCCTGGATTTTAACTTATACCTGACTTCTTAGCATCTATTATCTTTTCATTTATATTGACAGATAAATGGAACATTTTTATATAAATCTTTCTTTTATAACCCATTTTAAAGAAACTTCGTATGTGTTTCTTTAGGACTTAAAATCTCCAAATCAGAGGGATGAAATTGCAGGGGCCCGGGCCTCTCTGAAGGAAAACTCCCCGCTCTTGCATTCAATTTGTTCAGCTTGTTTGGAACATTCTGATGTTGCTTCCCTTAAAGCCAGCAAGGACACAGTTTGTGAAGAAATTCACAATGCCCTCAATGTAATTTCAAATGCTTCACAAGGCATCCAGAATACGATTGCCCCACCGGAATCTAAGGCAGCCACCCTGGGAAGTGCCCTTGATGAGCTTGAGGTAAGTGGAGAGAAAGGTAAAATGTGATTTGATGTACCCCAATATGAAAATAAACACGGGTTTTCAGACCTGTGTTGGAGTTTAGACTATGAGTAAATAAAAATCCAGTTACTTAATCAGTCTCTATCATTGCCTTGTATCTTCCAATGAATTGATTGGCAGGAAAATATTCTATCTCTAGACTTCTGATTCCTTTTTATTTCTTCCAAGGAAGTCAATGAATTTAAAGTGAGATTGTTGATTATATTGAAATGATGATTTTAGTTTACATGGATCAATTTATGAAATGTAGGATTTACTCATTCCACAAATACTTATTACTGGCACTTTCTTTGTGCTTGGGATATAATAGAGCACTCCCCTCATGAAGCTTACATTTTAACAGGGAAATATAGGCAAAAAACAAAAACAATGAACACTGTGGATAAGTAAATAGAATGTTACATTGAGAAAGTGAGATGACTTGAAGGCTTGAAGGAGATTAGATAATTCAGCAGATGGATATCTAAAACTAATGTTTAAAAGCATATCCCCATTGTTTAAGGACAGCACAGACATCAGGGTGCCTAAGTGGAAAGTAAGGGGATGAGTCAGAGCTGAACTGAGAAGATCCAGTGGGGCCAGGTTATAGAGAACTGTGTGGGTTGTTGGGGGTTCTGGCTTTTACTTCAAGTTAAATGGGAGCCATTGTAAGGTTTTAAGCAGAGGTATGACACTGGAATCTAAGAAGGACTACACTGGCTACCTGAAGAACATAGACTGAAGGGGGAACCAAAGAAGAAGCTGAAAAACCAGGCAGAAAACTATTATAGAAATACGGGTTCCATCCTTATGTTTACATACACCAACTCATTCCACCTCACAGTTTAGTTTGGACCAAGGTGGCCTCAGTGATTATTAAAGCTAAATTTTGTAAATGAAGCCAACTAGATTTGACAGAACTAGTGTGGGATGTGAGAGAAAGGGAGGAGCTATGGCTGATCTTTCAGGCTGGATCTTCCCAATGCACACACTGAACAGAGTTTGGGATACAGGTGTTGTTAGGAATTAACATGTGTGAAGGGAAGAGGGAGGGAGCAAATTGAGCAGAGGAAGAATTCTACCTGTGGGCCAGACCCACAAAGTGTAGACCAATCAGTAGAGAGCTCGAGAGGAAGGGTTACCCTTTAGTGTACCTTCTCAGGCAGACATAGCCAGGCTTTTTTCTTTTCTTTTTTTTTTTTTTTTTTTTTTTTTTTTTTGCCTCTGTCAGGCGATAGATGCAGGTCACCCTGCCTTGGGAAGGGTATGACGTCCAGGCACAGGGAAGAGGGGGCAGGCCCCTGCATCTGAGGCAAACCCTGTGGGAACTGACAGCTGGGGGCCATCTGCTGGCCTTACTCCCAACAGCCCACAACTCAGCAATAAGTCGTACACAGAAGAGAGATGTGAACAGTACACCTCTCTGTCTACCACAAATAATCTTAAGGTTTTGTGTTTTTGTTTTTTGTTTTTTTGTTTTTTTTTGTTTTTCTTCTTTAGCAGCTTGATAGATGAAGTTTTCATCAACCATGATGAGGAACACTGGGTGAAGCCAGTTTTGAGAGGAAGATCAGAAACTCAGTTTTCAACAGGTTTAGCTTGAGATATTTATCAGACATTCGAGTGTGATGTCAAAGATCATTAACTATGCAAGTCAGACACACAGTTGCTTGATGAGAAGCAACATAGTGTAGTGCCTAAAAATAACAGTTTTAGAACCCAAATGCCAGGGCCTCTCTCTCAGCTGTGGACTTGTTGCCCATGTGACCTTAGGAAAGATACTTAAAAAAAATTTTTTTTTAATGTTTATTTTTGAGAGAGAGAGAGAGAGAGAGAGGGAGAGAGAGAGGCAGACTGAAAATGGGGGCGGGGCAGAGAGAGAGGGAGACAGAGTCAGAAGCAGGCTCCAGGCTCTGAGCTGTCAGCACAGAGCCGGACTTGGGGCTCCTACCCACAATCTGTGAGGTCATGACCTGAGCCAAAGTCGGATGCTTAACTGACTGAGCCACCCAAGCGTTCCATGAACTTTGGAAAGTTACTTAATTCTCAGTTTTCTCATCTCTAAAGTGGATTAACAATAGGGCCTACATCGTAGTTTTGTCAGAATCAGTGAATCAACAATACATGTAAAATGCTTAGAGGAGTGACAGGTACATTATAAGTGCTCACTAAATATTAGCTCTCATTACCATTAGTGGAGATGACTATTTGAAGGCAAAATTTTCCACAATGAAATCAATGCAATTAAAATTACTAAAGTCTTACTGGTAATTTAAAATATAAACTAAATACATATAATTCCTATTATTGTTCTTAACATTATTTCTTTCATGACAAACTTATGAAAATATAATTTATTTAAATTTAGAGTAACCTTTATTCTTTTCCTTTAGTTACTTGTCTTTAAACAGATGTCTTCATTTCTAATCTGACATTATTAAATTCCTCATTATTGACATCCATGCAAAAATTTATTATTACGTTCATAATAATTAGCATCTATGTGAAAATTCTAGAAACTAAGTAAAATAGAAAATTAGTGGTGACTCTTTAACAGTACCCATCATCTAATTGTTTTCCATCTAATTGTTAATAAACTTGTCTATTAGATGCATGTGTTCTCTTCATAGTAAGATTGAAAACTCATTGTTTTCAAGGGAAAGATTGTGTTTCTTACTAATTTTATACCAGTGATGCTGGCAGAATGTTAGGTCCCCCATACATTAATATGTAACATTACTTCATAGCTAAACAGTTAACATAAATGTATTACTTAATTATTACAGTGTCACTATAAGATAAATCCTTAATTTTTGTTTTACAGAAAATAAAATTGAGACTTAAGGAAGTTATATAACTTGCTCAAATCAGAAGGCTAGTGAGTGGTAGTGTCTAGAATGTGATCTAGTCTTTCTGATTCCAGAAGGTATTTAAGTTCCGTGCTGTATTGAATTCTCACAGATACAACTTAACATGCTTAATTTATGCTAAGATTCTTAATCTGTACGAACCATCAGAGAAATTATAAATGTAACCAAGTCCAAAAGATGGAATTCTTTTTTAGTGAAAAGGACTTTGTGCCTGAGTAATTTAAATAGAACTACTCTGTATTTGGAGCGTAGCTGGTATGGTGACCTAAAGTGGACTGATAGGACTGTATATCATATTTTTCACAGAACTAAAAACAGAATTATGTCAGGGGATAAGATATCCAGTTTATCCTGGATACTTATTCTATATTCTTAGGATTATAGAAGAAGATGGAATATTTCCAAATTGTTCTTTCTTTTGTGACTTCTCCTTTTTCTATTTACTTGAAAGTGTGAAAGTGGCTGCTACAGATAATATATGGCAATAATTAGAAGGAGAAAGTGTGTGTGTGTGGGGGGGTGTGTAACTTTGATGGGAGTGGGAATAGGTATAGTGATGGAGTCTTCCCTTTCTCAAGATGAGTGGCTGACTCATTTCTGAATGAGGCAGGAGAAAGATATTTCCCAGAAATCCTAATGCTGTCTTAACAACCTTTGAAATCAGTCCCAGTTACAGCTAGGGATGTACAAACCAGTACAAAATGCCTGAATTTGCATATATCTATATCTATATCTATATCTATATCTATATCTATCTATATTATATATCTGTTACAAATAGCTGCAGAGTCTCTCTGAACCAGAATTTATTGAGCATTTAGCTTTCTAAAATGGTTTTGTAAATTAAATGGTTGCATTTTTCTTCATTTACACGAAACCGTATTGGTAAAGGATCCAAAATAACCTTTGCTCTATCTTGCTTCTGCAAATATAATACTATGAAATAAACTGATGTAGTAAATACTCTGTTGGGAGTAAGTCTCATTAAATGTTTATAGTGTGGAAATGTATCAGAGTGCTTATTCAACAACTACGATGCTGAAGCTTTGTTAAATCTTTCATTCTGGTTCATGGCTGGTTGTGGATATTAAACCTGAGATTTGTTGCTAGAGGAGAAAATAGAAGTTGAATTAGAACACTGTACAGGCTAAACTGATTAATATATTGGAGAGCCTGATGTGAATTATAAGACTGTTCTTTTTGCATTTGTGACTGAATAGGAGTTGAAAAGTGTCAAATTATAGATTGACAGAATTTTAAAAATACCTTTAAACGAGAAACTTTGCCAGTGAAAATTGCTTTGCAACTCCAAGTCCATTAAGACATATTTTCTCTTTTTAAAAATTAAAAAAAATTAAGTAAAAAACTTTTTAATATATATTTTTAAGCTTATTTATTTCTTTTGAGAGAGAGAAAGAGCACAAGTGGGGTCAGGGCAGAGAGAGATGGAGAGAGAATTCCAAGTATAATCTGTGCTATTAGCAAATAGTCCCACGTGGGGCTTAAACTCACAAACCGTGAGATCATGACCTGAGCAGGTATCAAGAGTCAGACCCTTAACCAACTGAGCCACTCAGGTGCCCCAAGACATATTTTCTCTTACGCAGTGGGAAAAAGTGGTGGTTGTAATCATGGCTGTAAGAATTATCCAGAACTTCTTGTGTTAAAGATGATAATAACGTGGGGCGCCTGGGTGGCGCAGTCGGTTAAGCGTCCGACTTCAGCCAGGTCACGATCTCGCGGTCCGTGAGTTGGAGCCCCGCGTCGGGCTCTGGGCTGATGGCTCGGAGCCTGGAGCCTGTTTCCGATTCTGTGTCTCCCTCTCTCTCTCTGCCTCTCCCCCGTTCATGCTCTGTCTCTCTCTGTCCCAAAAATAAATAAAAAAACGTTGAAAAAAAAATTTAAAGATGATAATAACAAAAGAGTTTTGTAGTATTTTATCAAACAACTGTCATATTTATTTTCTTATTTTTAATATATTCACTCCTATATCATCATTCATATATTTCTTTATTCACTGTTGTATTCCCAACACCTAGAACAATGTCCTATACATAGTAAGTGCTAAGTGAATATCACTGAACTGAAAGTAGGAACGAAGAAAGGAGG